TACAACTTCTACTTTCTAATTTTCATAAAGACTACAAACTAAATCTCCTCTGAACAAGAACTCACAAAGTTCTGGACAAGAACTCACAAAATGAATTATCACCCCCAACCTTTTAGTTCGGGCGCCATTTGTAGAGTCGCTAGGTTATTTTGAAGCAGGAGAAGTAAAAAATGTGCAGTGTCCTCGCTGGGACTCGAACCCTAAACCTCTCGAATGCGCGTCGAGTATGCTTCTATTGCACCACGAAGGTATGCGGGAAGAAAGGAGAAAATGTCCTATACGCCCTTGAGTCCTTTGTCACATTAATTAGTCACACAAAAAGCATTAGGAAGTTGCGAACGAGGCAAAGCACGGATTACTTCTATTCAAAAATGTAGATATACAACATAATTTTAAATATCTGTATAGTTAGAATTCCAGCCTGTCCCGAAAATTAAAAAAAAATTCCAATGCAGGGAAAACTCGATTTACGATTAAATGCGCTTCTGAAGAACGTTCTTCAACCGAAATGTTCGTAAGTCAAAACAATTTTTTCCGTAGGAATTATTGTAAAATGGATTACTTCTTTCCTGAACCACAGATGATATCTCACTTTAAAATAACACTTTATGCACTGTAAGGTTTATCTTAATTTTTCCAACAGTTAAATTTCAATTAAAAGTTACTTTCCTATCTTCCTTAATTTCAGCTTACAACTTCCGGCCAGAACGCAATTTTAGAATCTACAGATTCAATTCAGATGAGGAGAAGTATTTAACTTTGAAGTTCCACTCACTTCGGTAGAGAGCCAGAAATTCCGACTAGCGCGCGTTTGCCTTTATAGGCTGCTCTCGCTCGGTCGTACTTTAGGCCCTTGATAGTTTCGCCGTTATTTAGCATTAAGGGGCCAACTCTGTTAGAATCTTGACATCTTCGGCTACATCTTTCTAGTTAGTTTTATTTCTTAGTTCCTGAGTTCAATCCTGAGTGGAGGCTTTATTGTAAACTCCAAGAAAGGAGTCATCTATTAAACTTTATTTGGAATAATAAAGGGTAATTAACCCTTCTCGAGTTTTTGTTCTCTGTCTACTGAACTAAAGCGATTATTCGCTTACCTGTTCTTAAGGTTCCTCAACTTTAGCTGTAGATTAAAACACAGGAATCTTACAGCACAAATCCAAAACCAATGAATGACCAAAACTTTTATGAATCCCAAACAAAGGAAAATCATTAAATCTGGAAAAAAGTATATAAATACTATAGATAAGAGATAAAGCAGACAAATTCTTCAAGAGAGAAGAGAAACACGCTAAAATAAATCTTAAAAGGCAAAATCTTAATTTAACTTTTCTATACCTGTAAGAAAAAGAGTGAAAGGTAAAGACGGAAAATGAAAACGAAATTTTGAGCGAAACAGACCAGTGAGTCTTAAGCAGAATGGAGTGGTTGGTACTTAGACAAAGAAAAGATAAAAGAAAATGCCTCATAAAGACTGACTTTTATTCATAGCAAGGGGTTTCGGATCCAAATAAGAAAATGATGAGAAAGATGCTCTTGTTTGGATGCGAAAATCCTTGCTATGGAAAAAGGTCAGTTTTTGTGAGGCATCTTCTTTTACCTTTTCTTTGTCTTCACGTACCACTCCACTCTGCTTAAGACTCAATGGCCTCTGTTTCGCTCAAAATTTGTTTGTTTCAATTTAATCGGTTGTTGCCCACATTTTAAAAGTTTCTGAAACGATACATGGCATTGTCATTAAAAATGTTTACTTTCTTTCTTCTCACCATCGACGGAACCCCTGGCCCACTGGGTCAGGTGCTTTTCAGCCTGTTGGATCCCGTCGATGGAATTAAAAATAAATGCATGAATAAATATAAATAAAGAACTTAGTACTGTGTCCTCCGGGGATTGGCCACGAAACGAGGAACATTGAAAAAAGGACCAGCATGGAAAGAAGGTACATGGTGGGGACTGTTGAGACTAAGTGAGACACTTTACACTATTATCGTACATGTTAGGCATAAAGTTATATTAAGGATGTGTTATAATAATCAAGTACAGATGTAAAGATGATAAAATGCATTACAAATTGTGGAATACGTTAAATGAGTTCTGAATTAATCATAACATTAAATATAATTAAAAACAGCAAAAACAAACAAACAACAACAATAAAACACAAGACATTAAGTAAATTAATATATATATGGAGCGGGATGCTGACGGCGCGGTGTCAAAGGAAAGAAGTCACTCCAGGCTGTCAGCAATGCTTTTAAGCAATGGTAGTGCAGTCTCTAATGTGGCCGAGCGCATATTTATTCTTAATTGTGTTCTTGAACCATGCCGGCATATTGATTGCAGTCGGTCTTTTTAAATGTGAATTCCCTGTGTGCGAGCAGTCAAACTAATAGTGATCTGGGTCACCAGTACTGCCACAAATACATTGGCCACCGTCTCTTAGGCGAAATCTGTGAAAATAGGACATATATGGACCATGCCCTGTCATATACTGTTTGAGGCACGAAGAACTGCTATTTAAATTGTGGTTAAGTTTTGGTTGGAAATCATACAGTCTTCTGTCTGTAGTGCTTGTCTCCCAGTAATTTTGCCACTGCTTCATTAGTTTACATTTGAGAGTAGTTTTCAGATATGAGTGCGGAAGGGGCACACCATTGCTATTCACGTGGGGTTCATTGGCTGCGCCTTTCGCAATTATATTTGCTGCTTCATTTCCTTTAATCCCCGTATGGGCTGGAACCCATTGTAGATGGGACTTCAGACTTGCAGGAATCGAAAATTAATAGCTTTTGTATGTCTCTGACAATGGGATGTCTACTGCGGATGGCCTGTAATTAAAAATGTTTACTGCTGTTTTATCATGATGTTGCTCATTTGCAGCACCTAACTGTACTTAAGGCATCTGAGAGTAGCATAGCAATAGTTGGTTAAGTTACCGCTATACGCTTCTTTCTGCTTCTAGTATATCTGCTCTGCATCTTCACTTATTATGTTAATTTATATAGTTTTGGAACGAACTTCGCCGAAACACTGAAAGCGGAAAGGAGCAATATGAAACTTTCAAATATTGATTTACATCTAATATAAAACATTATAACTTTATGAAACCTCATTTTTTGAAGCTCTTACAAAAATATTACTTTATGTGGGTACTGAAAATTGCATATTAACTTAAAAGGAATTACTTTCTATAATTAAAAATTTAGTTGCCTAAATAAATTATAATATTTATGATATAACATTCAAATGCAATGATAAATTTAATCTTAAATATAAATGATCGAGTCTTTTGGTGCAGATTTTAATTAAATTCTTACTTTGAAACGAAAAACTAACGATAAATAAATATAAATTTATTACATTCTTTTGACAGATTGTAATTGAATTCGTAAATTTTAAACATGCAACCTCATCAAAGCGTTCGCATGTGAATCAAATGACAGCTATGATAGCTGAAATTTTACTGAAAAGTTTTCCAAAGTCTTTCATCCGAAAAGGAAAAAAAATCCTAATCAATATTTTGCAAGCTCGAGTTTCCTTTTTTGGTATCGCGTGAAGGATGAATGGAAGTTTTACTTAAGAATTCCGTTCGCTTTGAATATGAAATGAGAAAAATGGATTTTATTTCTAAGATCACTTGAGGTATATTTTTGGGGGGGGAGGGGAATTGAAATAGTTGATAGAAAGAAAGTTTCCTGTATAATTTCGTACTAAATTATTTTACAATTCAACACTCATTTGCGATATATTGACGTTTCTCTTTATGATACAATTTTAGATGCATTAAACGAATGCCACGTGCTTTGACAATTTTAATAATTTCAGCGTAAATGCTTATTAATGTAAGTAATATCAAATAAAATTAATTAAATTTTCAAAAAGACAGTGGTTTCAAAATTAAATTTCTTTAAATAATATAAGTTTTTTACACATTAGATTATCCGTTCCAAAATTATCGTAAAAATGTAATTCACAAGAGAGCTTTTAAGAAAATTAAATTTTATTAGCTAAGAAACGTATACGGTAAAACAAAAAAAGAACTTTTTACGCTTTGAAACTTTTTTGGCTTTACCTTTGTAAGGTTCATAGGATCTGAGAAACATTGGCTGAATTGCATACTAAGTTCATTATATCATATTGTCTTGTTCATTTTTTCCTATTTCTTTTTCTAAGAGGATCCTTTAAATAATCTGGTGTATTACGCTTATAAATGCGTGCTTTTTCCTGCCTGTTTACGCACATGTGTTTGTTTGCAGGTATCAAACAAACACATTAAGCTTTCAGCATGACTCATAGCTAACTTTTGCCAAGTCGCTGTCCTGCATGTAGTACGTACATTCTTATTAGCCCAAAGGACGTTATCCCAGAAGGGCTATTAATTTCAAAACGGCATTTTGCGTCGATTCAACTTATCAAACTATTGCCACCAAGTATTATCGTCACGTATTATAATCAAAGAAACTGAATAATAAAGAATCTGCCTGAAAGCATGAATGTTTCTCGCACTGTGGAAAAACAATGGTACCTAGAACCATTCAATTTTGAATGACGTAATCTTCCAACCGAACATGAGCACCTAGAAGCCCGAATTTTTAATTTCGAGTTTGTTTTATTATCTATTTCAAATTTTGTAAAACATTAACGAATTTTTGATTAACAAACTCAACGATTTCAAATGGAACAACCGCAACGCTGTACGGAAAAAAGCATTTTTATCTCCAGTGCTTGAGACTGCCTATCGGAAATTCTAAAGATATACTACTGTTTATAAATACTTTTATTCCAAAGGGGCGTTAACCGAAATTGTCTCGAAACATATATGTGTGTGTAAATGAAAAAAATGCATGCCCCTTTCGACGTAATATAAAAATCTGAAGTCTTTCAGATTTTTTAAATAGGTACAAATTATTCCTAAAATTTATAGCTATTGAAATTCCTGATATGCTACTCATTTTCATGTATTTCGCTTGCAGTGAAGTGTGATTTTCTATTTATTTTTACAGCCAAATGCATATTCCAGTTTCACAGTCACCAAAATTCTAAAGGTAATTTCTCATCTCCGCAATTTCCAAGCAACTATTCTGAAGATCTGGTATGCATCTATAACTTCCAAGGCAAGGAACATGAGACATTAAAACTAACATTTCATGTCTTTCAACTAGAGCCGCCTTTTAAAAAAGGGTGAGTCACATTTTTTTATTCAAATATCTAAAACGGATTTATTTTCTACCTTGCAGCAAAAGGAAATGTAATTTTCATCTTTGATAGCACTTCTTTTGATAGAAAACCTATATTTTCAGAATAAATATAGTTTTTTGGTAGACGGTCGATCCATAAAAAGCCCTTGATAACATTAAATATTGGTTTAGGAATTCTTTTAGAGGAAATTTAAAGCTAGTGTACTCAAGCTAAGCAAACTAAATGAATTATACTGATTTGATAAAACTCATTACCTTCTCATTAAAGCTTTCGTATCAGATTTATTTCTGCGTCGCTTCGTTAAAATAGCTAAATGCAGTCCTGTGTCAGACTTTTATAATTTATATATTTTTATTTTATTTGAAAATTTGTGTTTCTTAAAATGTTTTAGTGATTACTGTTCACATTCCTTAATTTTTAATTTTTTGACGCTTCACATCACTTATATAAAATCGAGATATTTAAATATTTATGATTTTTTAAACACATTTGGTAAATATACAAGATATTCATTAAATTTCTGAATAAATTATTTAATATCAACTGTTTCTAAGCCATTACTAGAAATTCTAAGAGATGTCATACGTTTCGAATTCCGAATTTCGGATGTCGAATGAGTTTTAAAGATTTTTAAAGCTACAACTATGAACACTGCTAATTTTTTTTATTTTTAATAGTACAGACGGTTTATCAACCAATATATATCAAACTTCTATCAATCTCTATGGAGAGGCCCCTCTCTATCTATCATATTGAGAAATTAACCATCGAAGAGCATTCTAATTTCGTTAAAATGATTGTTCGTTCCAAAAAAGTTGACATATAAAAAATCTAATATCATGGTACCAAAAAAATGATATTGATTGCATAATCCATTTAAAAGCAGTCATTGTTTCAAAAAAAATGGAACATGTATTCAAATAAATGTATTGATCAAAATCTCCACAAAGCCTTCAAATTTCAACAAGCATGAAAAACTGTTGAAGTGACTATCAAAAGATTTACGAGAATTTAATAAAACGTATTAAAACCAAATCATACAAAACAGACGAGCTAATAATGAAATTGGAGAGGTGTTAAATACATTAATGTATTTAACACCTCTCCAATTTCATTATTAGCTACATCTAATAAGCATTGTGACATCGAACAATTTAAAAAGAAACTGTTTATTGTGTTCAAGTAGAGTACTGACAGCAATAACAAATGAAATTTATTTTGCTTTTTCTGAGCTTTCGTTATTTTTTACACAAAGCAATAGGAAACATAAATAATATTCTTGTAGCTTGTAGCGGCTTTATTCTCAAGAGTATTTTTTTCTAATTAGCAACCAGTATTTATGCATAGAAAAGTAACTAAATGTTTTTAAACTGCATATTATACACGGTGGTCACAAAAAAAAATCCTTTATGTATGAACCTCTAGCGGCCTATCCTCTCAACCAATCGAAATGGAATTTCAGGCATTAAGTCGAGATTGCGTTGATTTAAAACAATAGAGTTCTCATGGTTACGGTTACAGTGAAAACATTTCAAAGTTTTTGAATGGCAACACCCTCTTTTTTCCTGAGCAAACTGATCAGCGATTTGAAAACCATAAATGGCGCTGCAACGATACACGTATGACGAAAATTGCCAGCGTAAAACATTTGCAAAGAATAGAATTGTATAAGAGCTGGTTGACAACAATGACGAACGTAACATCGCAGAATGAATCTGCATATAATCAGGTTGTTTGTTTCATGGAGCTTTCAATTTTGGCAAGTCTCATGAATTTGACGTGTGGAGCTTAGGTTTCAGATAACCCCAGAATAAAATATCTGTGGAAGCGAGGTCGGGAGATCGCGGTGGCTGCGAAGCTACAAAGTTACGGGAAATGACTCTATTTTGAAACATTGTGCACATTTAAAACTAGTAATTCCGATAAAAAAAATTTCCCTTTGCTCTCTTGGGCTGTCATTGGCCCTTTACAGTGCTCTTCATTGCGAATGTTATACGTTCTCAATTTTTGTCGAACATGTATCGTCCCAACGCCATTTATGGTTTTCCAAAACCCTGATGGATTTGCGCAGGAAACACATGGATGTTGTCGTTCGAAAATTTCGACATTTTTTCACTGAAAACGTAACTGTGAGAGCACTATTGTATTAAATCATCCTAATCTCGAGCGCATACCTTCAAATAACAGTATCTGAAATTTCATTTCAATTGGCTGAGTGGATAGACTGCTAGGGATTTATATATAGGGGAAGTTTTTTATGATCGCCCTGTATATTAATGGAAGGACAAGTGAATAGCGTTTATCTTCTGTTTTAGTACATTTTCAGGAAAGCATATTTATGTGTTTGCCAACCCGCATGAAATTTGTTTCCTTAGCTAATTAAGGTTAAACACACATCGGTTATCAATCTAACAGAAGAAAGCCTTTGGAACATTTTCTAAATGAAAGTGCCTCGTATTAACATTATAGCTGGCGAAATCACGAAAAACTCATGCAGCCAACCGCTTCACCAGGATTCGAACTTACATTGAAATATTATTATTGAAAGAATTTATTCACTCGAACATTAATGAGAATCCATATTACATCTTTTACAGCCCATTAAATTCAATTTAGCTGCAATTGCCTATGATGAGAAATCGCAAGAGCTCCTTGGTATAAATTTATTCGTTCCTTTGATTGATTTATAAATATTACTTCACATCGATTTAAGTGAGTTCTAGTTAAGCAAGAGTAATATGCCACTTTTAATGGATTGCTTGAAGCAAATTGTATAAGCTTTCATATTTGAAAATTCATTCAAATGCAAAGTAGCTTGAAAAAGGGAAGTGTATTTCTTTAAGTGATTAGGGAACTGAATTCTATCTAAAGGCAGGTACGCTTTTAGTTTAATAGGTAAAAATAAACTATGTAAATATCTTACTTAATTGACACATTACCGACTAATTAAAGAAATGGAAGATCTCAGATCGCTGCTTATCATCAATAATAACCATTTTCGCTTCTATTGCGTTCCAGATTTATTTATGGACGTTTAAGAATCGTTCATTATGAAAGGTAGTTTGTGGAACGATTATTGTGGAACATTTGATTCATAACTCCCTCTGCTATGATTAGCAAATGGGCAAGACTTTTGTATTCCGTATTCATTAATGAAACTGATTTCTAAATAGCGTGAATAGTGAAAACCTCATTGAAACCGCAAAATGCTGTATACTGACTTGTATTGTGCATTTATTTCATTCTAATTATCATATATTTCTATACCAAAAGCTTTCTATACCAAAAACAAAACTACTCCAAGTAGTATTTCCTTTATTTGTAGCGAAATATAAAAATTATTAATAAATACAAAAAATTGTAAATTGTTATTGATCTCCAATCGGTCGCGGATATTTAGTCGACGAGATACTTAACCGACAAGACATTTAGCCAACAATGAGTCTCGCTCTTCCCAATGCTTTCAGATTTCTAAATTCCATTGTTGTCGACGAAATGTCTTGTCGGCTAACTGGTGTCGGTTAAGTGTCCGTCGGCTAAGTGCATGTTTTGTCTTTTTATTATCACATATATAATATTAAAGCTTTAATATAATAAGCATAATAAGCACATAATAAGCTAAAGTATAAAAGCTATAATAATATAATAAGCATACAATAAGATAGTTTAACAAATTTTTGTTTTTTTACTTCCATATACAAAGCAAAGGATGTATTGCAATCGCGAAACTTTTCGGGTATCATATTTCAACGAAAATATCCATTTTGACAGCTGTTCAATCCATTTGAACGATGTTTTTGCGTGACATCTGCACTTACGGACAGAATAAAGCACTCTTTTTTCCAAAACAGATTGCAAAATGAATTTAAAATGGATTCCGAAGATATTTTTTCGTGACGTTTGTACGTATGTATGCATGTATCTCGCATAGCTCAAAAACGAGTACCCTCAGAACCACATCAGCATGCAAAATTTCAGCTGACATATGCAAAGCTGAAATTTTGCATATGGGACTTGTAATTGTGCACCTCTCGTTTTGGTTGCAATTGGCCTCATCAAACGTATATATATATATATACCCACTCTATTACCCGGCTCGTAGAGTTCATTTTTTTAGTCTTGTATATTTGTGAATTGCGCATTTTTTGGCTTTAAAATGATTTAATCATGCTGTTCTTAAATTCTGATTAAGGTGTTTTTAGTTAATCTGCATGCAATAGTTGTAGAATTATCAACATTTTATTATTTAAATGGCACTAAACCTAACGAAGCGACCATTTGTTTACATTTGGAACTCTTGGTAGAATATAAAAATATATACTCTTGGTAGAATAGTCTTGAAAGTCAATTTGTGCACCAACTTCAGTGCTTTTTTGCTGAGTGGGACCAAAAGTAAACTTTCAATTTTGTGCACAGAAAAATATGTCTTCTTGCCCGCTGGCCGAATTGCTTGTTTTAGCGTAGAAACTCTAATTCTAAATGTAAAAATTTTTTAGCTCGTTTTAACCGTATTTTCTGTTTAACGTTTTTCTGTATTTTTCAGTTTTCTATGAAAATGCTTTAAGATTTTATGTATTTTGCCGCGAAGTGATAACTTAATTAATTGAATGAGAAACATATCTCAAATGATATTCGAGGAAATAAGTTTAAATGAAATGCAGCAAAAAATGTCTCTAAGTTAATAGGCCGTACAAGGAATGTGGTGTCTGTCGTGTTTCCTTTAGTGGGTAATTATTTCACAAGATACACTCTTTTAAACTACATGCTACTTCCCTCGCAAACATATTTATATCTGCAGCTCTCCATAATTACAGCTGCTCGCATTCCAGTCCTTTTTCTAATTACTGCGCGCGCTTCGATGCTTGGCACTATGTCAGCTTAAAGTCCGATTATGATATGCACATCGATAGTTTTCGATATACCACAGTGTCCACAACAGCTTTTTACTTCAATAATCGTAAACATAATGTACTTAGAAATGC